TTTGGGGTTTTTCCTCACTTGATGATTTTCGCTCAAAGTCCTCGAAGGATGGGTTGCTCTCAAATGACAAGTGTCAAGTTCTCTTGGAGCAGCCAACTAGCTAGTGGTTGTAGGGGGCGGCTATTTATAGCCTAGGGAGCAGCCCGACATGATAAGACATAAATGCCCCTCAATGATATGACCGTTAGGTGGATAAGATATTTTGGGACAGCTGGCGCGCAGCACAGCAACGGTCGGAAATTTGACTCTAATTCCTCAGGGCTATCATGTTCCTCACTGTGTAGGTAATTCGCACTGGCGAATTCCTAACTCCTCAGTCAGAACAAATTCATCAGCGACCAGAAGAACTTCGTCTCTGTCACTGAAGAAAGTGACTGAACTGTATGAGATTTCCAAAGGCTTCACTCGAAGGGATTGGTAGGTGTAGGATTTTGAGTTGAGCATCACATGGAAATTTTTCCTTAGTATTTCCTCGACCCCCTTTAACAGTACGGTGTTTCCTATGACTCAAGAAGGAGAAAATGAAACTACGAAAACAAAAGTCTTCATGCTTCATGTTCCACAAATGAATACCAAGTCTTCAAGGTCACATCAATTTCTTCATTTTCAAAGTCTTCAGAAAGTCTTCAGAATATCAAAGTCCTAAGTTGAAGAACTTCATTTTTAGGGGTCGACTTTCTCTGTAGATATCAAACTCCTCATAGACTTATAGACCTGTGTACACTCACAAGCGCATTAGTCCCTTAACCTATAAGTCTTCAATACACCAAAATCACTAAGGGGCACTAGATGCACTTACATATACTAACTTAGAGCTTATATGCTTAGTTTCCTATAGGTTAGCTCCAAAATAACTTATGTTAGCACAAAATGACCAAGTTTACATAATAAGCTTATACTCTTCTTCTTATTCTTCTTCTTTTCCAAAATTCTTCTTATTCTTCTTCTAGTGTTCTTCTTCTTCTAGTATTCTTCCTTTTCTTCTTCTAACTTCTTGTTTATCATTTTGCAGATTTGATTTAATTCACGAAAGCTTGCATGGATGGAGTGCTTCTTTTCCATTTGTGTTTTTATTTTGTATCAATGTGAAACTTTTGTGAATTGATGGATAACGGTGTTGGATGAACAATGTGAAACTTTTGTAATATGTAACGATGGAACTATGTGTTGGCTATGTATGTATATATGATGGAACTTGTGTGTTGGCTATGTATGTATATATGATGGAACTTGTGTGTTGGCTATGTATGTATATATGATGGAACTTGTGTGTTGGCTATGATTGTTATATGGATGCTTGTTGTATATATATGTGTTGGATATCTCATAGGTGAAATAGTGACCTGATATTAAGAAAAAAAATTAAAAAATTGTTACTAATGGCGCACTACCATGTGGTGCGCCATTAGTATAGAAGACACTAGTGGCGCACTATGGGCAAAACTAATGGCGCACTGCATGGTGCGCCATTAGTATACCAGATACGGTGCGCCATTAGTAATAAATACTAATGGCGTGCTACTAATGGCGCACTGGTAATGCGCCATTAGTAGGACTTTTCCTAGTAGTGCTCTTCGCATTGGTCTCAAACCAATGACATCCATTTGGAAGACCATGAGTTTGAGGTGGACGAGGAGGGTGAGGGCATTGTCGACGCGCCGAAAGGAAGAGCGGGCAATTACAGCACCAACGATGACAAGTTACTATGCAATACTTATTTGCAAGTGTCAAGGGATCCATCCATTGGAGGTGATCAAAGTAGAGATGCGTATTGGGGGCGAATGAAAGAATACTTTGATGCTCACAACATGAGTGGAATTAACCGCTCGGAGAGATCACTTCGGTCCCGATGGTCCACAATCAACTCGGATTGTCAAAAGTGGGCGGCCGCACAAAAGTCAGTTGACAAGATTAACCCAAGTGGCACAAATGAGGATGATAGAGTAAGTGGCATCTCATATATGTTCATCTCATACTTGTTTTTGGTGTTCGAAGTGCTAACTTGTTTTGTTTTTCTTGTAGTTCAACATTGCACAAAACTTGTTCAAAGAAGAGACGAGGAAAACCAAGAAGGGGAAGATCAAGAAAGGAAGGGTCTTTACCTTGTCTCATTGCTATGAAGTGTTAAAGAATGATGAGAAATGGAAGAATCGTGATGGTTTGGATGATTTGCATTTGAGCAACAAACGCAAGGTGGATGATGATGATGAGGAGGATGATGCATCAAATGATGACGGCAAGAGAAGCCCCACACCCAACTTGGTTTCATACTCGGAGCCAAAACGACCGGATGGGTGCAAGAAAGACAAAACCGAAAAGAAGAAGAGGAAAGGAGATGATGAGCTCAAAAATGCTATGGAAGCTATTGTGAAGGCAAGAAAAGAAGCCAACGAGGTGAGGAAAATGGCAAGGAACCAAGATGCCGCGGCCGAGGAGAGGAGGTTGGCGGCCGAGGAGAGGAGGGTGGCCGCCGAGGAGAGGAAAGTGGCATTGGATGAGAGGAAGGTGCGCATGGAGGAGCGATCTAGGTTGTTGGAATGGGAGAAGCACTTGTTCTTCTTGACACATCTTCGTTCAATGGTGCGCAAAAGGAATATGTCAACCTTGCTCGTGAAGAAGTCTTGATCCAAAAAAGAGCCATGATCCGCACAATGGGTGGTGGTGGCCTTGGTGGCATGGGTGGCGGTGGCCTTGGCGGCATGGGTGGCGGTGGCCTTGGTGGCATGGGTGGCTTCGGCGCCATGGGAGGCATGGGTGCACCTCCGGCCGCCATGGGAGGCATGGGTGGCTTCGGCGCCATGGGAGGCATGGGCGCATCTCCGGCCGCCATGGGAGGCATGGGTGGCTTGGGCGTCATGGGAGGCATGGGCGCACCTCCGGCCGCCATGGGAGGCATGGGTGGCTTTGGAGCACCCTCTGACGCTATGGCCGCCATGGGAGGCATGAGTTTCGCTACTCTTATGGGAGGCATGGGTGCACCTCCGGCCATGGGTGGAATGTCTTTCGATGTGCCTCCTCACACACATTCCCGTGAAGATGCCGTTGAAGATCTTGCCAACACCGTCGGAGCTTCACGTGATGCGATGCGTGATGAAGATAGGGAGGAAGATTCATCTTCGGAGGCGGAAGAATCATCTTCGGAAGATGAGGACGAAGACGAGGAAGATGTCTTGAACTTTACTTTGCATTTTGAACTTGATTGGATGAACTTGTGGGCATGAACTTGGTTGGAAGATGTTTGTGACAAATTTCACATGTTCATTGCATTTTGATAATTGTTTCAAACTCATTTTGTAGCTAAGTCGCGCGCGCCCAGCGAGTCGCGCGCGCTGTATTTTTGCGCGCTGCAGGAGCGGCGCGCCCGCGCTGCATTATAGCGCGGCTGCTGGAGCCAGCGCTCGCGGCCGCGCTAAACCAGTCTAAGCGCGCGCGGCAAACAGGTTTTTTTACGCGCGGCGCATAGCGCGGCTGTTGGAGATGCTGTAAGTGGCGCAGAATGCTATGGGCGAAGACGGTGATGCAGGGAAAGACGTACAGCACAGTGGGTTGAGGGGGAAGTTGGCCATACTTGTAAAGAACAATCTGCAGAATCCAAGCAACAGAACAGACATGTTCTCCAAACCGATGTTGCTTTCGGGCTTCGAAACTGCATATGCCTTAATTATGCTTTCCAGGTGGGCTCTTCCTTCGTCTAGTTGATCAACTGGTGCACATCTCAGACGGCAACAAGCAAGATTATCCTTCCACATGATGATACTTACTCCCTCTGTAAACAAATGTAACTATGTACGTTTTGACAGTTTATATAGCACTTGAATGAGCTACATTTTCTGATATCATTATCAGTGCCTTCTCAATTTTTCTTAGAACAAGTATGAAAAAAAATATTAATCCTATCCGGAAGTTGCATCTTCTGAACTAGGATTACTCCTATGCTTTCATGGAAGTTCAGTAGTCTATCACATTACAAAAGTTGAGTTCGGTGCTACGAAGAACAGACAACTAGAGGAATGTAACTCTGGGGTGGCCGCCGTGGATGAGGTCGTGAGCAATCCTGTCGCGCTCCTTATCGGCCGCTGCGGACAGCACTGGGGTGGAGAGTTTGGACTGGAGATCGGTGTCGAGCTCCTCACCCCTGCGTTCGCATAAGTTGTGCAGCACGCAGCAGGCACCGATCATGTTGTGAAGGTCCGGCAGCTTGGGCTCGGTGCAGCGCTGCAGGCAGCGCCACCGCGCCTTGAGCCTCTGGAACGAGCCCAGCGCTGCTGCATGCGCGGTGGCGACACGTTGGTTGAAGGCGTGCTGCGCCCATGTCAGGTTCTGGTGCGTGTACGGTACGAGCATCCAGTCCGTGAGCGGGTAGCTCGGGCCGCCCACCAGCCGGCACTGGTCGTGTCCGAGCATGCCGGTCTCGCAGCGGGCGTGCAGCGCCGACCTCTCGAGCACGGCGGCATCGGATAGCGAGCCAGGGAGGCCGATGCACACGTCCGTGAACGCGCCGTCGGCGTCCACGACGGCCTGAACGGCAACGGAGTAGGAGACCTTGTTATTCTGCTCTGTGAGATAGCGGTTGAAGTACTCGGCGGCGTTATCCTTGGGTGGGCGGATGGGAATGTGGTCGGTGCACACGGCGCCGACGACGCTGGGGATCCCGGATAAGGCCTGGAACCTGGAGGCGGCATCGGCCTGGGAGTCCAGCGGCCAGCGGATGGCCTTGGGCAGGAGGACGGTGGTGAGGGTGGCGCAGACCTTGAGGACAATGTCGTGGCAGGTGGAGATACTGAGGCCGAAGCGGGGGGAGACCTCGTCGAGGGGCTCTCCGGTGGCGAGGTGCCAGAGGCAGACTGCGACGCGCTGGTGCACTGGGATGGCGGGGCACGACGCGGTGTCCTCGGCACCGTTCGCGATCGCGGCGCTGAGCTCGTCGCACAGCACATCGAACGTGGCGCGCGACATGCGGAAGACCAGCCGGAACACCTCCTTCGGGCACGCCGGGTCGCTCAGGCGGTCCGACAACTCCTTGCTCCGGCTCTGCACCCACACTTGCTGGCCTCCACCCGTCGCTGCCGGCGCTGCGTTCCCGCCGCTGTAAGCAGGCGAGGTCGGCGGATTATGTGATGAACTGCCGATGACAGTTTCTTCATTTCCCTTTTTCTTGCATCGCTGAACAGAGACCGACTCCACAGCTTCAGGGCAGCCGCCGTGCGCTTCGTATTGAGGGAGAAAATGGCGCAGTTCGAGCGCACGGGCTCGGACCACGCCGGCTCCACCGTTTCTCTGAATGCTGATGGTAGTTTTCGTTTTATCAAGCACGTCGACTATGTGTCTCGCGACAGGTCTCTTCTTTGGGTCCAGGTTCATGCACTCTATCCCTATTTTGGTGCATACTCTTACTTGTTCCAACTGAGTGTCCGCCTGATCTGATGCCTGCAATTGAATTGTCCAGCTTTCAGTTACCTACAAAGTTGCATTAATGAGTTAGGACTTATTTCAGTAATATGTGATCTATAGCTTCTAGAGAGAAAAAGGAGAACTCCAAAGCACTCCCTCCCGTTCCAAATTATAAGATTATTGTTTAAGTCGGATGTATATAAACGTGTTTTAGTGTGTTTGTCACTCATTTCGCTTCATATGTAGTCCATATCGAAATATTCCAAACATCTTATAATTTGAATCAGAGGTAATACTATTTTGATCACCTATTGAAAATACACTCTCCCAAGTTCTTACAAAGTTCAAACGCTTATAAGCATATATAACTGCAAATTTCGTACAAAACTAATATGCAAATTTGCGCCAGGTACAAAAAATGATAATCTGAGTTTGGTACGCTTGAACCTCATCACATCCTTTCCACAAGAAACTATTTCGGCCTAAGAGCATCTCCAATAGATGGTCCAAATGTAAAAATAACTAACTTTTCGACCGTCTAGGGCAAAAGACGCTGCTCCAACAGACGGTCCATATGCAAAAAAAATTGGACCGCGGCCTCCTCGTGATGTAAAATGCAACATCTCGTGATGCAAATATACATCACGAGATGCATCTGGTCCAAATTCGGCGACCGTCTGCCAACGCCTAACCGCCACTTCATTTCATTTCACAGTCGCGCCTGTCCGTCCGCCCGAACACCAGTCGGCCGGAATCCGCCGCCGTCACCGCCACCGCCCTAAATCGCCGCGCCGCCCTCCGCGGCCCTCGCCCCCGTTGCCTCCCTCGCCGGAAGCCGTCTCGCAGCCGCCCGGGCGCCGCCGGGAGGCAGCTGCGGTGGGATTCGGCGCCTCCGGCGGTTTGGCTGCCCATGTAGACCTCCGCCGGGTCCTTAGGCCGCCGCCCGCCCCGCCGCCCACCGCTGCTCGCTGGCCGGCCCCGTTGCCACCGCCGCCCGCCTCCGCTGCCCACCGCTGCTCGCTGGCCGGCCCCGTTGCCACCGCCTCCCGGCCCCGCCGCCGCCCCACACTGACCCTGTCCAGCCGAGCTGCCGTCGCTGCTGGCCCGTGCAGCGTGCCTGTGCCGCTGCTCGTGGTGTTCGCTTCGGCTGCTGCCCGCCTCTGTCGCTGCTGGCCGGCAAAGGAGCACGTACAGGGGAGCGCGGGCTCCGGCCATGGCGACCACGGACGAGCACGGGAGCGGTGGCAAACGACACCGATCGAAGGAAAAAAATAGGAGGATTGGGAGAGGAGCTCATCACGGGGAGGATGGCGCGCTCGGGGAGGTCGGGGAGAGCTTGATGGCGACGGATTTGACGAAGGCGGCCGACGTCCCGAGGTTGAAGAAGACGATCAAGGCGATTTTACATCTTCATTTTGGACCATCTGTTGGAGTTGCTCTTTTGGACCATCTGTTGGAGTTGAGCTTTTTTCGGAGCTCCAAAACGCACTTTTTGGCGGTCCAAATTTTACATCTCCGGTTTTGGACCGCCAAATTTTGGACCATCTATTGGAGATGCTCTAAGGGTGCAGTTTGTGTGTCTACATACATACATACATACATACATATATATGTATTTCTAATTTTCTATTAGAATATTTTGTACACAATACAGGGTATTTTCGTTACCACATGCATATATGCATCGCAAAACTGTTTCCTTAAAAAAGGAGATAAATTGCACCACTTGATGTGGCCATCTATCGTCTCACTTAGAAGGTACACTATGTCAAAACAAGGATTGATGACTGACCTAGACAACTTATCATGAATGACCTAGACAACTTATCAAGGATTGATGACTGACCAAGACAACTTATCGCAATGTGGCCACAAGGCTGGACCAGAGAGCCTTGATTCGCCACATCCAAGGAGCACTCACCCCCATTGCCATGGTGGAGTATATTGAGCTTTGGCGACGTCTCCACCACATCGCTCTATACACCGACCCGGACAATCTTCCTTGGCGTTGGATGGGGAGCAGAATCTACTCTGCTAAAAACTGCTGCCGAGCCCTCTTCCAGGGCTCCATCAGCGCGCCCCATTGGCAGCTCACCTAGCGGTCTTGGGCACCCTTGAGAATAAAATTCTTTGCTTGGCTTGCGCTGTAGGATCGCTGCTGGACCTCTGCCCGTTTGGCTTGCCATGGCCTCCCACACCACACGCCCTGCATGCTTTGTGACCAGGCGCCCGAGTCCATGGAGCACTTATTGGTGGGCTGCCCATTCTCTAGGCAGGTGTGGCAGGAGCAGGACGCTCTGTCTTGGTGCCGCTGCTCGGCTCAAGCGCCTTCGCCGGCTGATCGCTTCTTGGACCGGTGGCATTCTATGCACGCCTCCTCGCCAGACATCTCCAGGAAGGGTCTCACATCACTAATCCTACTTGTGGCCTGGTCCATCTGGAAACGTCGCAACTCTTGCGTGTTTGATGGCTGCTCCCCGTTCAGCGCGCAGCTCATGCATTCCATCCAGGAGGAGGCGCGCAATTGAATCAAGGCAGAGGCGAAAGGTCTACCATCTATAGTGCCGTAGTATGTGTGTTTTGCTGGGTCTGAGCACACCCATGTTCTATCATGCTCAAGCTAGCAACTCCGCCATCCGTGTGTACGGAGCTCTCTAGCGTTCCAAAACCCATGTTCTTGTAATATTTCTTTTCTACCCATTATAAATGATACGCAAGCTTTGTGTATTCGTGGAAAAAAAAATCACAAAAGATAAACATGTGCTAAACAGGATGTACGTGAAGGATACATTGGTAATATTGGACCGCGACAATTTGTAGTTACAAAATTCTCAAGTTCCAAGTAAAGATGTTTGTGATGACTCTTCAAACATGAAAAATATATAGAACTTAAAATAAGGCAGGGGCTAAAGAGGTGCTTACCAAAAAAAACAAATTTTACTTAAACATTGCTTCAAAGTTAAATGTCAAAATTTGTGTGCATACTATTCATTGGAATTGAGGTAGTAATATATTAATTTATAATTTTATGCTTTAACTTGGAGAAATGCTTAAGTTATTCTTACATTATCATCTTCGGAATAACCCTTTTGACCAGTCAATATCTCCACGATTATAACGCCAAGACTATATATGTCCGACGCAAATGAGATGTTTCCACTATAGTATTCTGGTGCCATATGGAATTGAGGTAGTAATATATTAATTTATAATTTTATGCTTTAACTTGGAGAAATGCTTAAGTTATTCTTACATTATCATCTTCGGAATAACCCTTTTGACCGGTCAATATCTCCACGATTATAACGCCAAGACTATATATGTCCGACGCAAATGAGATGTTTCCACTATAGAATTCTGGTGCCATATATCCCCTACATGAAGATTAATAAAGTTACTTCTCACTGACTGTGAAATAGAAATTAAACTCACCCCAAACAAAATGAAATAAAGGAGAGCTCTCTAGTGGCTGGCTTACATTGATCCACATAGGTTTGAAGTAAAAACCCGCGTTTGCTCTTTGTCCAGGCACCTTGAAAGACCAAAATCAGCTATTTTGGGTATCATGTGATTATCTATTAAAATATTGGCGGGTTTCAGATCTAAGTGCAGAATGCGCCTCTCATGAAGATAACACAGTCCCTCACATATTCCCTTAATTATCTGATAACGCTCCCTCCATCCAAGTCCATGAGATGCATCTGTAGAGATAGGGATTCCGGATTACCATACTTTAGACAGATTGCATAATGTAAGTAATAAAACTCGAAATGGCAGTCTGCATCACGTACATGGGATCCTTGGGCTATATAATAACGTGATAAAGATGGAAATGAAAGTTTGGATCTTACCGGTTATGTACTTATCAAGACTGCCGTTGGGTACATACTCAAAACAGAGTAACCAATTTCGTATATCTGCCATGACCAGCTTCCCCTCGTAGTCTGCAATTTTTCCTTGAGTGTCAGAACAATATCCTAAAAACCGCACTATGTTTTTGTGCTTGGCCCTCATCAAGCACTCAACCTCTTTGTGGAATTTATTTTCCTGCATATCAAACGTCCTGGATAGCCTCTTCACAGCAACTGGCTCATTTCCAACCATTCCCTGCAGTCACAAGCACGTATTGTCAGCACAAGCTTTTTTGGACGTTGTGGTGTGACATCAGGTTAGCATATGTCAGTTTATTTTGTAGAGCAACTGTAGTTAGGATGGGGGCTTGTTGCAGTTGTCGAACCTTATAAACCACCGCAAATCCACCAATGCCGATTTGCTGATCTTCAGAGAAACTATTTGTGATGTCTTCTAAAAGTGATAATGGCAGATCCGTTGGTTCCGCACTTACATCAAGCAGCACGCGCTCCAGAGCTTTGTGCCTAGTACTGACTCCGTGGTCCATTTGCAATTACGTACTATGGTACAGTACCCTTCAAATATGAGCAGATAACCTTATTTATGATTCCACTATACCAGATGGCAAATGTCACGAATAATATAGAACAAGAGAATGAAGATACAACAACGTTGCTAATTCTCGCCTTAAAAAGTCCCAGTCACTTCAAAATAGACATCAAGTAAGCCTATAATTGCAGCGCGAAGAAGTGTTCAAATTGGTATGTGCATGTGTAGTACAATTAAGCTCCAATTTCTTGTTGCTGACGAGTGACGGCACTTCTCCCAGCTTTGAGCTGATGATGGCTGACTCCAAGCGCCAATTTGTACTCAGTAGTTACTTAAAACACTCATTTATGCTCTGAATCCTCGAAAGCAGCAATAGTCTGAATTTCAACAAGAATCTTAGACTCAAATTCAAGTGACAAAGGAGCCTAATTAAACGCTTGAAACCCCAGGCCTTCGCTAAGGACTTGCTTTGTCCTCTTAGATTTTCATATATCAGACATGGTTGAATCTTAACATGTGCCCACACCGTAAAAGATCTCACACATATGGAGATCGAGTTGACCACCTAATCAGGAGAATTTATCTGAAATTCGAATTTATAGACTTAATTAGCACAGGTACTACTAGCTAGTGATATTGTTGTCTGGTTGCCCTAATTTGACTTTCTTTACCGCTGATGTGGATAACAGTTAGCTATTTATAAAAGTAGATCCATCAGAAACAGTAACAGATCGATAGTTAGCCTAATTTGACATGAGCCATGCCGCAAGCACAAGGCCGACTAACTGTCTTGGCACTTGAGAGTACTAGTAGGCAACAAGAAATTTAGGGAACTGTGGGGTAGAGATAGCGCCAAGTTAAGTAAGACGAAATGAAAACAAAACTTGTGTATACCATCCAACAAACTTACAGAAAACACAAGGCATTTGCAAATACACTATGTACCACGAATCGATGGGCGAAGTGTAATGAATTAATCCTGCTTCACCGGCCGGCCGGCCGCTCAGCGGAGACGAGATCTGGATCTCAACGGACTGAGCTTTGAGGAAGACGATAACCCCTAGCTGCCGCTCCCTGTCTGAACGCTTGTTGGTAAGAGGGTTTGGTGTCTTCGAGGCTGGTTAGTATGGGCTGCATGATAAATTAGGCTGCAATCACGTGCGATGATGGTCCTTCCGTCAACAGTCAAGTAAAATAGTACTACCTCTGTAAATTAACATAAGAGTGTTTAGATCACTGATACTTACTAGATTTTTATTGTGGAGTTGGTGGTAAGTGGGGTGGGGAATTTTTACTCCATGAACGGTCGGTCAAGTACATATAATGTATTTAAGAGTCGCAGCCACCGCGGAGTAAAAAATTTTCTTCACTAACGATTTTTGGTTAGTTTCCGGTTAGAGGAGAAAATTCAAATTTATGCTCCTCTAACCAGTTATTGGGGATCGATTAGAGATGGCCTAAGGTGCAACAAGTCCAGGGGTAGCATGTGATACACCACCATGGAACGATTCCACCCTGACAGTTTATTAGCAACCTTGTCCACTAGCATATATTTATTCAGTTTTTGGTGAGACAGTGCATTTCTAAATATTTTTGGTGAGGGGAAAGAGTCTCACAGCCGTCCGTAGTTCATTACTCCCTCTTCAGCCACAAAAGTTGTGAAGGTCCAGCTCCGTGCGCGGCAGCGATGCGCTCGTTGAAAGGCGTGCTGCGCTCATGTGCCCAGCTCCAAGCAAATGCTCCGGGCAATGTGACCAAGCACAAGGAACCAGCATCTCGAGCATACCAACCTGCAAGTGGAAAAGAAGATTAATCATGAAGCTACACGTACACACATTGTCTGAAAGGGGATGAAGAAAACGGCCTGTCCTCCTGACAGCAGAAGGGCAAATGGCGCGTCGATTCAGTACATCGGCCGATTTCAACAGTGTAAATCATGTGCCGTTGGTACCTTTTTTACACACGCACAGAACCATATTTTTTTTTGAACTATGCACAGAACCATATCATTGAACAACATCTCTTCCTTCAGAAAAACAGATTGGTTAGTTGACTGGTTGTCATGGTCAAATGGCATATATAGATGACTGTTTGTTCGATGACGGGGATGCTTTAATAATTCTGCTTTGTCGAATAATCCGAGAATGTCTTCCATAATTTTTGCCACGCTTAGCTATAGTGCAGTTCCCCATGCAGAAATCCTGGATTAACAAAATACTGCAGACTAATCACAACAAATTATGGAGTAAAAAGGTACCTATGCAAGACTTTGATCAAGCGTCTAAAATGAAGACTTCTCGTCGGTTTCATATAAATCGTATCGCACAACGGAGATGTTTAATTAATTGGACAGTGTAAACTGAGCGTGTAGCTTTACAAGTGATGTGGGCAGCTGAGCAATTACCCTGCAATGGCACATAGCAGTGGCGGACCCAGGAATAAAATGAAGGGTGTGCACACTCTAAAATTTTTTTTGCTACCTAATCCAAGTGTCATACAAAATATGGCAAAATTGGCATGTCTCGTTACTTTGAGTGCATCCTACTCCTATGTTGCATTCTACTCTTTGCCAAATTAGACTAGTAGACTACTTGACTACACAATGCCAAAATTGCATTGACTACTCGCTATAGGTGATTTGTTACTTCTTAGCACTGTTCTTAGCCACTATAGTCTACAGATGAACTATTTCACAATGCCAAAATTGCACAAAGCTACTGGCCACTTGACTACAGAATGCGAAAAGCCCAAAATTGCACTGACAACTAGTGCCACTACACAATGCCAAAATCTGCACTGTTCTTAGCCACTCCAGATGAACTATTTTGAGGGATTCTACAATCTGCAATCTGTCCAATCTCCAAATTTTGCATCATGGAATCATGGGAGGGAGTGACCAAGGGATCAGGCCATCAGGGATGGCCGGATGGGCAGTGGCAGTGGGGATGGGAGGAGGGAGGCGGTACCAGTCCAGCTCCTCCAGAGCGGCGACGATTGTCGGAATGGTAGGGAGGCCAGAGGCGATAGTAGGAGCTCCTCCAGAGCAGCAGCCGCCCGGGTCGGCGCGTGCTTGCTCGTGGAAGGAGATCCAGCAGAGCAGCTCGCAGCGCTCCTTCGAAGGGAGCGGAGCGTCGCCGCGCCTTGGTGGGAGCGGCGGGCAGTCGGCGGCAGTCGAGCAGGATGGGGATGGGGATTAGGTCGCTGGAGGGTGCGTGGGTTGCGGCTGCGCTCAGTGTCTCTCGATCAAGTACATCGCTCGCTCAGAACTCAGGAGATGGTGAGCTGGTCGGCTGGGCCTCTGCCAGTTCGATCTGGGCCAGAAAAAATACATGATAAAAAGTAAATTTGCAAATTTCTGGGTGTGCCACGGCACACCCGGCACATCCCCTGGGTACGCCAATGGCACATAGTACGTGCAGTACCAAATGATCAGAACGAATTTTCAGCCTACTTTTACAATTGTATGTACTGCCACACAAATCTTTGAGACAACCTGCTTTCGACCAGTGGTTCCAGATGATCAGAACGAACTTAGAAACAGGAAACCAATGTACATTGACTAAACATTTTAACCAGTGAATGATATCAAAGAAAGAAGAAAACCTCGATTAGAAAACCAAATCACTTCTTCAGTTCAAAGGAAAACAGAGACAAGGCAGATCAATTGGCAACTACCTCAAAAGGTTAACAAAACGAATTCCTAGTTTTGGCACCAACATGCTAGCTACTTCAACCCAAAAGGATATTCACACAAGTACAAATTTCATGCAACCATGAAACAGTCGGAGCTTCTTGATCATAAAACTAGTAAACATCGAAATGAAACTAACCGGCTCATAGTGGACCCAATTCATACCATTACAACTCATGAAGATACTAACAGTTAGCCAATTTAGAATCACCACCTCACATAACAGCTGTCAAACGGGAGGCAAAGCGTTCACAATATTTAATTTCAAACATTCCAAATTGCACTCTGATCTCTGAAACCGGCAATTCAACCCGATATTTCAATGCTCAGACCTCGTCTTTGTAGTCTTGCACCACCCAGATATCAACAGGTGTCCCTTCACCATTAAAAGTGGACATGCCAAGCATGTTGTCCATCTCAAACAGGCGAGCATGCCCAGGAACAAACGGAGAGCGCATCTGCCGGAACGACTCGGTGATGGTGTCAAATATCTTTATCACGTGGTCCGTATACCAATGCAGGCTACCACAGAACAGAACAGATCCGGGGATGCATATCAGTTCCTCCGCATCGGGGCATCCTATGTGCCTGGGCGGCTGGCCGGAGCCTATCGTGAAGACGTAGGAGCCCTCTTGAGCGCCAGGCAGTGCACTGTACATCGACTGGAAGAGCAATAGCCGGTACTCACCGGTAGGGCTGTGTGGATACATCCCCAAGAGCGTGAAACCATGAAGCAGCGGGAGGGTGGCGTACTGACGAGTCGCCGGCTTGCGGACGGAGAAGTGCTTGCCGTGGACGCAGATGACGAGGAGGCCGTCGCAGGAGGCCTGGAACAGGGCGCCGTCGACGCTGTAAAGTCGCGCGACGGAGTCGGCGGCGACGGGCCCTGCCCGGTGGTTAAAGGGCATGATGAGTACGGAGTTGCCGTCTTCGCCGTAGATGAGGGGGAGGGAGGGCTGGTGGCCGTGGTGAGCGAGGAGGAAGTCGCGGGTGGAGGTGGCGCGGCGCCATGCGCGGCAGACGGCGCGGCAGCGGAGGAGGGCCTTGGGGGGCAGGCGGACGAGGATCTCCCAGATGGTGATCTCTTCCGGGATGCCGCAGTGGAGAGGCGGAGGAGCTCCTGCCATTGCTGCCTTCGCCATGGTCGCCGACCGGGAGGAGCGAGAGGACTTGCGGTTGTGGTAGC